ATACTGAAAAAAAATGTTGGGCATGTCTTTTTTAAACTGCTTATCTATGGTATTAATGAATCGAATAATTTAACAATAGTACAGACAGCTAAATGTGTTGTTAATTAAATGTTGATGTGGAGCAATACAGAAAGCACTATGACAGTCACAGTGCTCCACAATTTCTTTCTTCATGATGAACCAAATCAAAAACGTCTATTGACCTAATTGCTTTAACTAGATAGCAATCAAGAATATCACAGAATTATTAATATAGAATGAATGGCTTTTTCAAATTATTCAAACGATGTAAAGTGGATGGTATTAAGTATTTTCCATAGAAGTTCAGTCAATGTCAGTATTATATTTAATACTTTTAGCCGGTTATGGTTCTGCGAATGCCTTATAAGGGGCATTCACGTTTAAAGTCAGATAAACTCTAAGATCCATCGACGAAAACCGGAAAGCAGCGAAGATAGGACTTCAAGTGAGCATAGAGGAGATATATGTGGTGGAGACGCGCAGCAGTCAACATCGACAAGCACCAATCACTATCACTAGGAGATATCTAGAGGAATTTGTCTCTTCCACTTACCCGACCTAGGCCATGTCCTTTCATCTACAGGCAGCACGGATGAAGATGTCAAAGCCAGGATCGGTATAGGAAGGCAAGCCTTTATTAGTCTGAAATCACTCTGGAAATCAGCTGCACTCAGCATAAGGAAAAAGGTTTGGATTTTCAAGCCTAATGTCAAGTTGGTTCTTCTTTATGCTTCAGTGATTTGATGAGGAATGCAAACTTTTATCAACAGATTCCCTCGCTCCATAGTGAAGATCAGATAGCCATCAAGGGAAGATAACAACGCGGAACCCCAACACGACAACGAATCAATGAAGAATTTACTACCTAGAAAATGTGCCGAAGTAAATGGAGATGGGTGAGATAAATGTTAGGGAGATCATTAAATGACACCAAACTTCTGGCCTTCGAGTGGAATCTTAATGGGAGAAAACCAGTTGGGCGTTCGATAGTGATGTGGAGAAAATCGGGTGGGAAGGAGATGGGAGTTTATGGGCAATGGTAAGGCCAGCTAAAGAGGACTGCAAAGAACTGGGCAAGATGGAGACATCCTGTTGGAGCCGTATGTTCTTCTTGTAACTGAAGGGAGTAATACTAAAACCAATGAATGCTTGTAAAAATTGTGACAAACATTTATAGATTAACCTTAAGGAAAATTGAAGAAAGATATCTCATGGACGTCTTCCAAAAGAATGGATATCCACGGAATTTCATCAAAAGACATATACCTCCAAGCCAACCTATCAAACCGAAAGCCCCCAAGGAAAGCACAAAGAAAGTCCCTCTGCCATATATAAAAGATATATCAGAAATCACTGCAAGACTCTTCAAACCTTTAGGAATTGACGTCGCACACAAACCAACAAAATCACTTCACTCAGTTCGATGTCAACCAAAAGACTCAACAGCGAAAGAAAATAAAACCAACATCATCTACAAAATAAATTGTATCAACTGCGAAAAACACTACATTGGCCAAAGTGGACGTCCCCTTCGTCTTCGTATCCACGAACATAAGCTAGCCGTCAAAAGACATGACATCTACTCCCTCATATCACTACATACAGACAACCACGGACATCAATTCGACTGGGACAACGTTCAAATATTAGACAGAGGAAACAACAAAAATGCTAGAGAATTTTTAGAAGCCCGGTATTTCAGTGAATCATCAATCAGTAGACACATCCAGATTGACAAAATTTATCAACCGATAAGAAAGAAAGCCCACACACAAAGGGTCAAAGTTCAAGTCAAAGAAACAATCAGTTCCAATACAAGTAGCCTAGAAGGTGTGAAAACACACAAAAGCAACCAATCACGTCCCAGGTCACTGGGAGAGATGATCAATAAACTCATGCAGAAATCTGAAAGCTCACTTCAAATTGAAGTATGCGCTGAAGATGTCACCTAGTAGGATGATGAAAGCTTCACAAATTAACTATCCAGCTCAGAGAACACAACCACATCAAAATAGATTAACTTTGAACTACAACTGCTGTTTAAGGGATTTTTAAATTTACTCCAACATGTTATCAACTTTTTGCCCATCTTCACTTTCATTTTTATGTTTTTTATGGTGTCTGTCAAATTTCACGCTAGCCATTTAGTCTAGTTTTAGTTTAGTTTCGCTTTATCAGCAGTTCCCTGGGAAACACAAACATGTAAATTTATCCTATTAGTTTTTGAGCGAGACAACACACTGAGTTCACTGTACTTCATTGTACCAGTTTTTATACATATACATTCTCTAATAGCTGTTAAGAGTGAGCGTTATCAGCTAAAATGAAAAAAAGATGGCTAGAATAATAATCTATTTCATATTTGCTAAAATTGTTTCGCCAGGAACAGTAATTGAATACTATGAAAATCTGTTTAAGCACGTTTTCCTCAAAAAGTATGCCATCAAGTCCCATAATTTCGAATATCTGTTTTAATCATTAGGAGTGAAAACATTTTTAGGCATATGGTAATAAATATATCAAGTTTTTATACCTTTACTATTGTGTCTTCACTAACATATATAATAACAAGGATCTTCTTGCTAATCACAAGAGTAACAGATACATTGTATATTTATTGCTATTCTCTTCATTTCACACTGCTTATCACAGTGTTAAGTGAGTTTGTCTGTGTGTACACTTTCATAACAATACAGACAGATGGAGTTATGTTCATGCAGTGCATAAAACAACTTCACTTCAAATGAAATCTGTGAACTTAATTACCGTTTAACATTGAATCGGATGTTACAATGAAGAATGTGTCCGTATCTTATCAATTTGCTTTTTTTTTGCATTAGTTTCTATTGTCATCATTATGATGCATGAACGTCAATCATAAGCGAATACACTTGTTCGTGTAGTTTTATCAAAATAACAGTTGTTGTAAAAGGGAAGTCTACAAGTAATGTATCCTTTAAATCAAACGTAAAGTATATTTTATAGTGGTTTGATGGGTTATATAGATTTGTTTGATGCTAAGGCAAACTTCGTGAAGAACAGAAATCAGTCGTTTGTGAATGGCTGAATAACAGGGATTAACCAGCATTCTTCTCATCAATCTAGTTTTCAACCACTGGACGGTATGAAACTACGACTTGTAAACTTAATGTCTGGATATCTGTTGAGTTCTATCTGCCAGTGTTGTTGTGCTATTACTAAATTACGTCATCCACAGTCAACGGTTCTCAACTTTGTTTTTTTTTCTGACATAACTTTTGTTCATATAACATCAACAGAGAAATGGAAATATTTACCCATCGATTAACAACTATCTAAATAATAGTACAAGCTTCAGTGGTTCAGAGGTAGAATGCTTGCCAGCCACGCATGTGGTCCTGGGGTTCAATTCCAGGCCGACGCACCGCTTTATCTGGCTTAGCTAGTAGTAAGCCCAGTAAACAGGGAAGGTTAGGCGTGAGACTAGCAACCACAACCTGTGAAAGTAAAACCACTGCTACCGAAACTTCAAAGCTCCAGCTTGAAGCCCTATGTTCCACTCGGAGAGTAAAGAAATCAAGTAATTAGTAAAAACAGATAACAGTACAGTTCTAACGGGAGGTTGAGATACGCTGCGGAAATCGACCAATCGGAATCTACTTTGTTACCTCATATGGCATAATAACATAACAAAACAACTATGTTTACTAAAGGTGCCTTAATAATATTCACGTATCAAGGAATTTTGTTTCGATATCTTAGTGGTGGAATACTCACCAGCCACCGCCGTGGTCCGGGATTCGACTGCCGACTGACGTACTCCTGAACCTATCAACTAGCAACCTCATGCTGTAGAAAATACAAAGCAGTATCGCTACCAAAACTTCATAGCTCAAGCTTGAAGCCTTATGTTCCACTCGAAACTCAAAGAAATGCAAAAAGAAAGTCTCTGAAGTTCAAGTTTCATTTCATTTAAGAAGTACACGCAAAGGATATTGTTAGAGACTGTTGAACTGATAAGATTAAAAAAACTATTCAGATTACTTATTTGGTCAAGTCTAGTACACTGAATGATCAGTGCCTTTTTAAGCTGCACAAAATGGGGGCGAATTGAAAATTTAAATTTAGTTAACAAGATTAAATTTTGCTTCGACTTTTAGTTTAGTGATGAATGCATTTTAAGATGCCGACAGTTCTACTGAGTTCGATAACTAGGCCTTCATTTACGTAGAAGAACAAAGAATAATAGAAACTGCATGTCTATAACCAAAAATTGTTGTAAAAATCATCACTGGTATACAATGTTTGTCTTTTAATACTATGCAGTGTAAGATTTTCTAAATTAAAATAATTTCCACAATGAAATAATCTTTCAACTTTGCAGATAAACTAACTATTTCAGCTAGTTGTATATATATATATTCAAGAATTGGTTTATAGGGATTTTGTTTGATTGGATAGAGAATTTCAACATGAGCTGACATCGGTTAGAGAACCATTAGAAAACCTGGAAGTACATGACAGCTGTTTCTTCCTAGTGCGGGACTCTCCAGAAGTACTCACCCATCGGGGTTCGAACCCAGGACCTTCTGGTTACAAGGCGAGCTCGTAGATCATTGAGCCGCTGAGACCCGACCCAATGACCAGTCCATGAATCCCAACTTCTACCAATTCACGACATACCGCGAACACTAGCCAATATCATCGGTGATGAGTATTTGTCTTCACGCCTGACCTGCTGTACTCTGGTGGTTACAGCTTCCCTCTAGAACCCCATTGGCTTAATGGTCTACGAGCTCGCCTTGTAACCAGGAGGTGCTGGGTTCAAACCCCGGTGGGTGAGTGATGATGAAGAGTCCCAGACTAGGACGAAACAGCTGTCCAGTACTCCCAGGTGGTTTTCCACTGGTTCTCTAACCGATGTCAGCTCATGATGAAATCCTCCAACCAATATACATATTTATTGTAGCTGATGAAACTAAACTTAAAAAAGAACTTACCTGAATTATTTTCAACTTTCTTCAATATATCCAGGCAGAAAATGTCCGTCAGACATATAAATAACAGTATATGTGATAATCTCAAGAAAATATACAACAATGTAGGCATTAGAGATGAATTAATCAATTATGCAATAATTATCCAAATGACTTTTACATTTTAAGCTGAACACAACTGTGTACAATATGTTAGCGCTGTACTCAAAGCGCTAAATCTATCTTACTTAAATACAGTACAATGAGAAACATATTGTAACATGAAATGGGTTGTATTTATTTTATCTAGTTATATGATTGGTTATTTTTTTTTCGGTGGAAATCTCCACATATGAAAAGCCAATTATGTATGAAAGAGGTGATTTACATTTTTTTGTTTTGTTTAGTGAATTGGTTTTTAGCCACTTTGGAGAGTTACATTAAAAAAAAAAATTCTGCATGAAGGAACTTTTGTGATTGGTTAATTCTTTCTACTACCACCAAAATATGCATTTAGAAGAAAACAGAAAATAAGTGCAAAAAGAAACATATGTTCACAAATTTGGAATGTGAATTAAACAATTATTGCCATTATAATTAGTAAGAGGCGACTGATATAAATGGAAATAATCATACAAAGAAGAAGAAATTAGACCTATAGAACCGGCAGTAATCATATTGATTTTAACTCTAAAAGGAATTTTAATATTTCGTATATAGTGTGGACAAGATGTTGACGGTTTGTTTTCGTATCTTTAATTATCAGAAAAAGTGACAGAATGTCATTGAAAACTCTTGATTTCTGAATTGGAAATACTCTTACCATCTATATTCATCTTTGTTAATCATAACTTGATGGTTCCAGGCTCGATTCCTGGTGGGCTTGGATATACGCAATGCTGACGAGTCCAAAACTTGGACGAAATAGCCGTCAAATGTTTCCCGGTTTTCAGAGATTCTCTTATTGATGTTGGTTTGTGACGAAACCTATACATAGAAACTTGATGGAGGTTGAAGAAGATTTATCTGCAATTAATAGTATTCTCTGAGCTGGTTGGTTTGGTTGCGGAGCTTTCGTCGTCCTTCTGGACAACATTTTCAGCGCAATATTTAGCATAAAGTGAAATGATTTAAATTTCTTCATGAGTGTATCGACCATTTTCTATTGACCTGGATTTTAAACTTTCTGGTCACCTGATTTACTTTTTATTAGTTGATATATTTCGTCTATATTAACATGTCTTTTTTATTTTATTTTTTTATTTTCGGTTACAGCTTGATTCCACACCGTATTTTCAGTACAAGTATGGTATTTTCAGCATGGATATCGGTAGCCCAAATTTCGCAGGCCGACCATAGATATCGGGTGTGCGTCGGCGACAGTCCTAACCACTGTGCCACCTGTTTGTTAATTGCATTTTCGTTTGAGTACCAGGCTTCTAGGAATTCCCTGGCACTTTTGGTGTTTCCTCTGTCTAAGATTTCGACATTGTCCCAATCAAATTGATGACCATAATTGTCTATATGCACTGATACTTAAGAATACCTATCTTGTCTTTTCACGGCTGATTTGTGTTCTTGGATTCTGATTCGAAGGGGACGCCCAATTTGGCCGATGTAATGTTTGTTGCAGTTCATACAATTTATTTTGTAAATGGTATTAATTTTATCCCCTTTTTCTGTTGGATCTTTTGGTTTGCATAGTATCGAATTAAGCGATTTTACTGGTTTGTGTGCTACATCTATATCTAACGGTTTCAGTATTCTGGCTGTTATTTCAGAGATATTCCTCATGTATGGTAGAATGAATTTTCTTGTGGTCTTTGATGATGATTTCTTGTTGGTGTTATTATTCGACTTTAAACACTTTTTGATGAAATTTTGTGGATAACCATTCTTTTTGAAGACCGTTTGTAGGTACTTTTCTTCCATTCTTTTCAACTCTGGAGTGCTACAATGTGTTTGAACTCCTTTAAACAATGTCTGCACACAGTTTCGTTTGTGAGTAATTGGATTATCGCTAGTATAGTTGAGTATTTGATCTGTGTGCGTTGATTTTCTATATACTTGTGCTTCTAAATTTCCTGTGTTGGTTCTCCTGAAGATGTTGTCCAGAAGGACGTCGAAAGCTCCGCAACCAAACCAACCAGCTCAGAGAACACTATTAACTGCAAATCATCCACCTGAGCTACAAATCTTCTATATTATTTCAGAAGATTTATCTGTCAGAAACTGTTCCATAGTCACAGCGATCAACTAGTTCTCAAAAATTCCACCTAATCTAATGCCGGTGATGTTGTTTCAGTAATTGATAGTCTAGTCATGAATGTATTCCAGTCTACATTTAACTAAGATATGTTCACTACCTAGTCACTCTAGAAAAAGAAGCTTGGTAGATGGGAACTGTTTCAGTTTCATTAGCAAGTTGACTGATTCGTTTGACAATGTTCAAAGCAGGTACACATAGATTACTCATATAAGTATAAAACTTGGACACTGTGGTAGAGTATAACTCCATTATAGATAAGATTTCATTTTGATAAATCACAGAGTGCTGTACAGTAATATTAACTGATGACGTTTCGAGCACAAACTATTGCTCAGAATCATATCAAGTTACTCATACAACTTTCTTGCTTCATTTGTATACTTAAGTGAAACTGACTAGACATTTGAATAAAAATCAGTATAAGATAATGTACATTCAGAAATAATAATATGAGTGTTATTGATCAAATACAATCAAATGGGAAATGAGATGATTTCATAGTCATAATAAGTAACTTCCTAGAATGTTATAATGTATGTGAATTGAAATAGAATTTTAAGATTATTTATTATCCTCCTCTGACTTAACTGGCGGTAATAATATCTTCCATATTTCTGGTATTTGTATTGAGTCATACTTACATATAAACAAGTGTCCAGTTTACTATTATTTCATTTCACACTCATAAACCTTCGTTACCTTTGGGAATTTTCGGCATCATTGATTTCATGAGAACATCAAGATAAAGTAGAATTTCATAAGGAAAGACGAGATATCTAAGTATAATTCTTTTAGTAAATGATTAGGTCTAACGCATGAACAGCAAAATTACTGGAAGACAGTGTGTTGAAATAAACCATACCGATAACTCAAACGGTATTTCATTTTATTACATACATATTCTGCATTCTGGTTGACTTTAATAGGTTTATTAAAGTTGACGAATGTACGAGTGTACATCGACTGAAAAGTTAGTAAGTAGGACAGGTAGTCCTTATTGCTAAGCAATGTGAGATTCAAGCTATGACAGTAAAAATGATCTTCAGGGAAGAAATTACTGAAAACAGTATAAAGGGAGAATTTCTGGAAACGAATACATATGATATTCTGATCATGTTATATGCACATGTGCATCTTTTAATTTGGAGCATATTCACAAGAAAGTAATTTTGAAAAGGACACCGTGAATGACATGCAAACTGATTTCGGTTACTTTGCCAACAAAAATTTTGATCTTGATTTAAAATAAAACTCTCAAAACATGCATGAGTAAGGATAAGAACCACCCAGTGACTGAAACCATACCGATAGACTGGTTTCGTGGGCCTTTCAATACAGAACGGAGTGATTTACATAGACAATATTGATTGTAATCTTACGGCAGATGATTTTCTTGCACCAACATTGATCATTGCCACAATGAGTACAGTTGATCTGCTCCACTTTAGCTATCTCTTTAAGTTAGAACAATAAAAACTGTGTTGTACAGCTTTACATTTACGGATGTAGGCTTTCACTCCTTTCATTAGGAACCGTTGGCGTCTGGAATTTCCGTTGATTACATGTCACTGATGTAGCCACTTTTGTTAAGTATGCTGATGACCTCTCTGTTTCTATGCCTGTCAACTCTCAGTCAGATTGTTCCAAATAAAATAACTTTCTGTCGGAAATTAGTCAGTGGTCCTCTTCAAACGGTCTTAAGCTAAATCCGTCTAAATGTCAGGTAGTCAGTTTCACTTTCAGACGGAAACGTGACCTACAACGACTAGCTAGCTCACATGGCCCCACTATCATTGACGGCATAGAGGTTGAAACTACATCTAATGTCAAGTACCTTGTACTGAGTATTTCCTCCGACCTTTCCTGGTCCTCTCACATCTTGCTAGTTACTAGAAAGATGTTTCGCTTAACGTTCTACCTTAGGAAGTTAAGGCAGTCTGGTATAAAGCAGTCTTTGCTTTCTCAGTTTGTCAACTCTTGTATTCTAACAATCCCTCTTTACTGCTCCCCATTAATCTTTCCTGGACTACTTAAGAAAGACTTTGCTTCGCTGCATAGGGCACTAAAAGCCGTTATTAGGGCAAGTGGAATATCGTTAAACCCACTGGTTAATACTGCTGTGGATAGACATATAATGTCATGTAAGAAACTGGCGAATACTATATTTTCAGACCCTGAGCATCCTCTCTTTACGCAGCTCTCTCCTTGCATTTCATCTGGTAGAACTAGAAGCAACTATAGGAAGCCATATGCGAGGACTACCAAGTACAAATACTCCACAATATCTTATCTGGTACAGCTGTTATGTGATGAGAAATCCTTTAGGTATGACACGATCAACTTACTGCGGCACTCTAACAAATAGTTCCCATTAGCTTTTGTTCTCTTTTCTTTGTTACTAGTATATTGTTGCTCACATATTCTATTACACACTAATTTTATATTTCATATCCTGTGGTGCATTGTTTAAATATGTGAATGCACTGCTGTTCTTATTTTTGGTTGTTGCTTTTTGATTTTAAAATCTTAAAAAATTTATGAGGTAATTAGATGCAATATTGTAATGCACGCTGAAAATTGTATACCTGTACCACAAATACTGTTTGGAATAAAGCTGTTATTATTATTATTAAATCTTCCACTACAGGAATGAAATTACCTTGTCTTAAGCGGAAGTCATCAAGAAGACGATCTAATTATTCAGGCTTGAGAACAACAGAAAACACTGAGTAACTTGTAGTTCGATTAGTTTGAAACAGATAAACATCACCTTCTGAGTGCATTAATCTCTCAATATCAAACACAAATAATTCATAATCAACACCAGGAAACAACTTTCAGTATGCACTTACTGATTATTTCTAATTTTTCAAACGTCTATTGTCTTTTTTGTTACTAACGAATTAAATTCTTTCCGTTTGCTTCAGAAGTTTAATTTATTCACGACTTAACTTTCATTTATTTTTACGAGTTTGACCACCGATTGC